ACAGAAAACCAACAATGGCTCAGACAAGACGACATCATGCAACCAGAACTTGGTTTGCATGTACCAGAGAACGAACGGCTAAGGACAAGAAGAACGTACCAGTTCAGAACTCGAAACCGTTCGGTTCAATCTGAAGCTCTTGACGCCGTAAGTGCTTCTACGGTGCCTGAACGATGATCGGAGAAGAGAAAAAGTAAGATTTCGTAGAGAGAAGGGAGAGCTTTTAGTGAGAAGGAGAAGAAATGAGAAATATCAGAGTTTTGGAGAAGAAGATGCATGCAGAGAGTGTGTCGTAAACTTTCAAAAAACTCATTTTTGCTTAAAACGAATGTCCGCTCATCTACTAACACCTGCATTCCACTATCTGATTTCCGGATCACCTCCACTTGACACCTGGCGTCCGTTCAGAGGGTTTTTGGGTGCGTTTTTAATGGTTCTGACATTTCCCCTAACTACAAAAATTTTCGTCCTCGAAAATTAAGACTTACCCGAAAATAGATGGGGATACAAGTCTCTTATGGAATCCTCCACTTCCCATTTAGTGTCGCCAGTCTTCTCGTCCCAGACCACTCTCACCAATATGATGGCTTTTCTCTTGTAGTACTTGGTGCGGCTATCTTCAACACGAACTGGTTGCATCTCTATCGTTCGATCTTGACGAAGACGAACGTCTTCTAACTCCAGTACATGAGAAGGATCGGCTATGTACTTCCGAAGTTGAGAAACGTGGAAGACTGGATGAAGATTGGACAGTTGAGGAGGCAAGGACAACTCATACGCCACTGGTCCAATTCTCCTTAGGATTTGATAAGGCCCAACGAATTTGGGAGCAGCTTCTTAGGACAAACGACTCTGCCTACTCCAGTAGTTGAATTCAGTCTAAGAAAGACATGATCTCCTGCAGCGAACTCCAAAGGCCTTCTTCTCTTGTCAGCATAGGACTTCTGCCTGCTCCGTGACGTTTTCAACCTCTCTTGGATTAACTTCACCTTCTCAGTTGTCTGCTGAATAAGTTCAGGTCCAGTCAACACCTTCTCTCCTTCCTGGAACCAACATAGTGGCGTTCGACACTTCCTCCCGTAAAGAGCTTCAAAAGGAGCCATTCCGATGCTGGACTGGAAACTGTTGTTGTAGGTGAATTCAACCAAAGGTAAGACTTCATCCCATACGCCCATGTGATCGGAGAAGAGAAAATGTAAGATTTCGTAGAGAGAAGGGAAAGCTTTTAGTGAGAAGGAGGAGAAATGAGAAATATCAGAGTTTTGGAGAAGAAGATGCATACAGAGAGTGTGACGTAAACTTTCAAAAAACTCAGTTTTGCTTAAAACGAATGTCCGCTCATCTGCTGACACCTGCATTCCACTATCTGATTTCCGGATCACCTCCGCTTGACACCTGGCATCCGTTCAAAGGGTTTTTGAGTACGTTTTTAATGATTCTAACACATGAACTCTAGCATTTGATGTATGAAGCCAATATCTATCATTTGTATGAACGAACATCTACTACAACTAAAGACAACTACAACACTTCTTCCAACTACTACTTCTACATTCAACTATCTTTACATTTTTTCTATCCATCAACTATTTCTTTCCCAACTTCAAAATACTAAGGCTGCCCCGTTCACGTAAAACAAATCCTTGTTGTGGCTACTTGTTATACTCTGCACCTTAATAGCAAATGCGCCATATGACCTTTTCCGGTTCTGCGAATGATATCATTAGTCGATGAGACAATGGCTGGTTCGTGTTTATCTAGATTTTAGAGACGGGACACGTCGAAGATGTGTCAGATTATTTTTATTTGGGGTTGATTTAGATGCATTGACTCTACTGAATTCACCTATTCCTATCCAATGAATAATACATACGGTAACATTCTAAGCAGATTAAGACTGATAATTAGTTAATCAAACAATAACCACACTCCATTAACGCTAAACCAAATATATTTTTGACCCGGAAGCTATCTTAAGCGATAGAAAAATTTCACACTCATTGGATTTCAATGGTTTTAAAATCATTATGCATCCCTATTCACGAACCAAATTAACTTAATATGTGGACACTCTGTATTTTCCACTCTAAGATAATCATATAAATATATGTCTTCAATTATGCATTGACTTTCGCAGCTTAAGTAATATATATATATCAGCCGCATAAGCTATGTACAGTGTGACAGATACAAAGATTCCATATAAGTGCAAAAAGATTCAAACTGATAGGTTCAGCTACCACTTTTATCTGCACCAAGGAAGTGGGCAAATTAAGAACATAATTGACATCAAATTGTATTTAACATCAATACTTATACCATTACACTTAATGAAAAATATTTAACATAAAACTCAGAATATCACAAACTAAATTTTAAGATTAGTTTAATTTCATAAAATCAATCTAATGTAAGTAAAACAATATGTTCTGTGTGAGTAAAATAATATGTCTAATAAATAATAAATTTTTTTGTTAAAATATATGTTAGTTATGATATTATGTTAAAAAATAACTTTAAATTTAATTTAATTTTATAAAATTAATTTATAAAATAAAATTTATATTTAGTTATATATTATAAATTAGTCGTAAAGTATAAACGTCGTGATTATACACTGAAGGTAAGTCTCGGAGGATCTGTTACATCGCTGGCAGCATCAACAAAAGACCAACCATATTTATTTCCTCTTCTTTATCACAGTCCACTGTCTAGTGGTTATTCATTCATGGTTCTGCAATACAGAAACCATGAAGCAGAGAAAAAGCTTTATGAGTCAGCAAAAAGGCAGTGCGGCATATTCATTATCCGATATCAAATTTTCGTTGCGCTTTGCATGGGCAAATGGGAATTGAATATTAAATGAGCCATGCTTTTTCATTGCAAAAGTGTTGGCGGCTTAACGTATATAGTGATGCAAACTCGTAGTTCTGTCATCTTTTTCATCATGGTTTTCTCTTCCTATAAACTAATATAATGATGCTGACATAGTTCTCAACTATCAGTCACTCAGCAACATCATGATTTCGTCAATGATAATAATATTATCCATAGTGCTTAATATGACATCACTGCCACCTTCCATTGACTCTAATTCAAATTTCAAATTTTATATGACCTCCACATATACAACTCGTCAGCTACAGTAATGGGTAACGTCATTTTCTTTACTAATTTATCAAAGTATAGTTCTAAAAAATATTTTAAAATAATTATTCATTTCTTTTGTATTAAAATATCAATTAAAAGTAACCTAGTTAGTCAATAATTCTTCCATACTTAAATTCAACCCTATCCATATCTATTTTAAAAAAACAAAGATATATATAAATTCTTTAAAATTTAATAAATTGATTTATTTAATTAAACGTATTGTTACATTAGTTGCATATAACATATTAAAATTATATATGCATTTTGTTTTTTAAATATCAGACATGTTCACGTAAAATTTCAACTTAATAATAGTTATATTAAATCATAATAATGTCATTTTGGTGAGTATTTTCATCTTGTAATGCATTAAAAAAACGGATTTGTTAAAACTCAAAATTCGTCAATAATTATAAAAGTCTATTTTTGAAAATTAAATTATTGATTGATTATCAAAGGTAAAATTTTCATTAGTAAAAGATTCTTATTGTTATAAATGACTGGATATGAAATATTTGAGGATGATTATTAACATATTATAATTGTAATAATTGATAATTATTTGTTAGTAAATATCATAATTTAATTCTTTTTTTCTTTTTTTTTCTAATTTTCTTATGTTCTTTTATCCATCTCTAATTTCTGATAAATATATTAAAAATTTAATTATTAACATACTTATCATTGAATTTTCAAAAAAAATCATTTACTAACGTACTTTATTCCAAAATAATCAAAATCTAAAACAAGAACTTTGATGTCAATTTAGTGACAACATACACTACAAAAATCTACATTTTTACTGGGGGTTATTTTTTCCATTTCCGGCGGTTTTAACCCCCGAAAAATAGGTTACCCGCGGTTAGGAAAAGTGCCGGAAAAAGCTGCGTCGCTAAGTAATTACCGGCGGTTTTCTCAAAACCGCCGGTACTAGCGGGGGTTTTGTCAAAACCGCCGGTACTAGCGGGGGTTTTGTCAAAACCGCCGGTACTAGCGGGGGTTTTGTCAAAACCGCCGGTACTAGCAGGGGTTTTACGAAAACCGCCGGTACTGGTGAGGGTTCAAGTTTTCTTACACATTGTTGGTTGATAGTAAGCTTCCTTGCAGCCATATTAACAGCCTGGAATTATATATTGAAGTCATCAAGGTTTTTAATAATATTAGAGCAATACGAGAATCAACTATCTTCCTTTACCAGTAAATTTACATCAAATCGTTAAAATCCTAACTTGAGGGGTGTTTTATCACTAACAAACACAATTACAAAAATGTAGAAAATTAATGACAATGACAAAAAAGAGTAAAGCTATCACTACAAAAAAACTGTTATTTAGTTGATGTTTATTTTCCATTTTACATATATAAAATTATAAAGTACACTAAAATTAATCAAAAATAATTTTATTGATAATTTAAGATAAAGTACATCAATTGACAATTACAATGTAAAAGATACATAATGTTTAAGGAACATTCAAAATTGACTAAAAGTCTAACACGATAGAAAACAACTAGACCAAGTAAAAACACATGGACTAATGTTGATGACCTAAACAAAGCCACTAGAAAACATCATCTTGCTTCTTATTCAACTTATTTGAAACTCGTCTTCCCATGAGCAATTCCAACAGCACCACTCCATAGCTATACACATCACTCTTGGTTGTAAGGTGACTTGGGACAAGGCAATGACTCATTAGTTAGCTTCATCAAATATAAGTTTCTGTGACAAGTCAACGACATCACTCATTAATTAGCAGCCCTTCAATTACCACAACAGAACAACTCTCCAAACAATTACAAGTTTCTAAATTCATCACATCAAATTGCAATGCAAAAGCGATATTAGATTTCCATGGTTGTGAAAATTAGAGAAAATGACAAAAGCCAAAAATAAAAGAGAAAAATGGAAATGAGGAACACATACCAAAACAGAGAGAAGAGATTTGTAAAGGTGGATGCAATGGAGATGGACGCAAAGTTCTGCATCTCTACCAAACTCCACCACACTACCTTAAATCACAAACTAACATCCTACAAACTCAGACACTATGTGTAAGAACCCTTTCATTTCACCTTATGTGATCCCTCCATGCTGTCTCTCTTCCCATTATGTCTATCCTTCTTCTGGATGACAAGAAATAAAAAATAAAAAATAAGAACAAAAAAATCCAATAACAATCAATAGTATAGTGTTATCATTCAAATTGTCACTTAGCATTAGTTACTAAGAACTTCACACCTACAAAAAGTAGCACACCACTGAATATCCTGCCATACTTTCAATATTCTAAACACTTTTTACATGAAATAAGACTTCAACTAATGGAGAAATCAACTTATATGATGATAACTAAAATGAGAGTGAAATGCAATAGAGTAGGCAGTGGAGGTGTAGTATACCCAGGCTTGAGTTGTTGCAGTTACCAAAGTGGGAAAAAACTCAAACACTTTTCATTAATTATGAATAAATTATGAGAGCACCAATGTGTGAATAACATAGGGTTTTATGGTCAGAACAGAGAACATGGTTTTATGGTCAGAGAAATCACAACATTCACAACCACTCAATCAAATTATTCCAACTCTTCAAAAGGAGGATTCTTCAGCCATCACCCTACTTATATTATTATTATCACTGTTATCGCATTCTTTTATTCTCAAGCTAGTTGTTTCTCAAAAATTTAATTCACTACATCACCTAGAATCATTAAAATGATATATAAATTATAAAATTCAATGAAACCTACACTTCACATACTTATTATCTTACCTTCTAGCACTGAACCATCACGAGAACCTTTATATGCTCATTTGCAGGCGGCTTCATTTCCTTCAGAAGCATATATGAGAAAATCCACTAAAATGTGTTTCTTTCACTTTCGTTATAATTGATTTGAGATTCTCTACTTTTGCAAAAACCTTAGTTACCAAACTCTATTCTTTTCGAGGTTTTGCATTCACGATTCACTAACATCCTTATACATAAATAACAATTCCAAGAATTGAAGGTAATTACCTCTATGAGAGGAAGCAAGAGGCGTCTAGTGAAGTCACTGATGGGCTGTTTAGCGTTGCCTAACCTTTCAACGACAACGGAAGCGAACACATTCAATTGGAGCTTGAAGTGGTCGCCAGCAAGAATCATCCCATCCAACATTCACACAATTAGGCATATTAAAAATGCATGTCTTTGCATAATGTATTTACGATTCCCCAAAATCAAAGAGTGTTTAAGTAGCGTTCAAAGTGTGAATCAGTTTTCGAGTAAAAAAACAACCAAAATTGAATTAAAAGATTACTGGAATTTGGTACCTTCAAAGGAACAGTGAAGAAGAAAAGCAGACATGCATGTGATGACCACAAAAGTGCCCTAGAAAACAAGTACCCTTTCTCTCTAAGCTTTCATTTCCTACAGCAAAAACATTATATAATTAAGTGAA